AGGGACAGCGCAGGAGGGGAAGACCCTCTATGAGGTGGATTGATTCAGTGACTGGGGTAATCGGGATGGGTGCGTCAGAGGCAATGAGATTGGCACAGGATAGAGCACAGTTTAGGGCTGTTGTACATAGGGTCGCTATGAGTCGCAAACGACTCGACGGCACATAACAACAACAAGCAATACATGCTATACATAATGAAGCAATTGATAATGAACAAAGCCTGATGCCAAGGATTGACAGGGCCAAGGGCCCAAGGACATGAGGTTACCTCATGGTAACCAAACTGTTCTAAATCTTGATTAAGGTAGTGGGTATAATGATATAGATGTATAACTCTTTGAGTTGTGATGTCGAAGAAGAGTACTGAATATCCCATGGATTTCCAAAAGAACCAAGAGAGGTGTCTTGGAGAAAGTAAAGCCAGAGTGCTCTTTGGAGGCAAGGAGAGTGAGGTTTCATTTCATATACTTTGGGCATGTTGTTAGAAAAGGCTATTCCATGGACAGGGACATCATGCTTGGAAAGATGAAGGGTCAGTGAAAGAGAGGAAGACAAAACAGTGAATACAACAATGGGCTCAAGTATAACAGAGATGATGAGGTTGGCACAAGATAGGAGAGGGTTCAGATCCACTGTTGATAGGATCACTGTGAGTCACAGTCTCTTAGTCCACTCCATAGCACTTAACAACAATAAAAATCTCTTCAGACTGTTAGGATAGGTGTTTCAATACATGTAAATTACACCTCGTCAAAGCTCCATTAGTTTGAACATAAAACATACATATGCAAATGATTTCTTTTTTTCTATCCTTTCATTTAGGGAGCTCTGGTAGACTAGCAGGTAAGGAGTTGTGCTGCTAACCCAGAGGCAGGAGGTTCAAATCCACAAGCTGCTCCTCAGGGGAAAGATGGAGAATATTTTTCTTGTGTAATTTACAGCCTCTGAAAACCCTATTTCAGAGTCAATTAGGAGCCATTTCTGACTCACTGGCACATAACAATGACATCTTTTCATATGCTGTGTTGTTGATAGGTGCTAAGCTAAAAACCCAAAACCAAAACAACCAGATGCTTTTTATCTTACCACCTCAAGGTGCATTCCTCAGAGTGAAATTTAAACTCATGTTCTCCAGTGATCCAGTACAAAGTTGGACAATGGGTACATTGCTTTAACTTAAGCCTGAGCCATTTAAATACAAAAGCTCCCTCCAAAAGGAAAAAACGGTAATTTTTATTTTTTATTTACTTATTTTTTTTTACTAACCATCTATTTTAACTGTGAGTTAGATGAATCTGAAACCAGATTTTGGTTATTGGTTAGAGAAGAAATACAATGACTAGGATGGTAAGGTAGGAAGAAAGTGTGAAACACTCCACTAACAATTAGAGTATGATTCCACATACGGGGACTGGGCTGACTGTATTCTTTTTTATTTCTCTGCTTGATATTTTCAGGCCTTTTAATTTTGACAATCTAATTTGCAGCACTCCTATTTTAGTCACTAAAGAATGGTTGTGAATTTTTTCAGGAATAAACCAGAACATGACTGGGTTTTGTTTTTTTCACTTAAGTATTTTTTTACTTAAGTATTCTTTTATTTTTAATTATATTAAGTCAATTAATTTTTTATTATACTCATTTATTTACAATATTTGAATACATTGTTTTTCATACCAGTTCCTTTCCATTTCCCTACCCCCCCACCCATCAAATTATACAACTCCATATTAATCCCCTTGTCCCTCTGCACATCCTCATCCATCTGCTTCCTCCACTCCCCTTGGATCCTTATATTTATTCTACAATAACGGTTTTATACAATATTTGTCCTTGTGGGACGGAGTTAGTTCATTCAGCCTAACGCTCTTCAGTCCCTCCCAAGTTAGGTAATACTTTACAAAATTATTGCTCCTGTGTGCTGCATAGTATTCCATTGTGTGAATGTAGCATAATTTATCAATCCATTCATTTGTGGTTGCTGCTATGAATATTGGTGTACAAGTCTTACTTTGTGCCTCAGTTCGCATTTTCTCAGGTATATTTTCCAAGTAGTGGAATACCTGGGTCATATGGAATTTCTATGTTAACCTTTTTAAGGAAGCACCAAACTGCCCTCCAAAACAGCTGTACCATTTTACAATCCCACCAACAATGTATAAGAGTTCCACATGACACATCATACACCAAAATCAACTTAATGTGGATCAGAGACCTGGTAGTAAAGCCCAAAACCAAAAAGTTCGTAAGAGACAAACTGGGATCAAGCTTAGAAGCACTAGTCCAAGGTATAAAGAGACTGCCAAATACAGCCAGAAATACACAATCTGAAGAGGATAAAATTGATGAAGGGACTTTCTAAAGATTGAATATATCTGTGCATAAAAAACTTTTTCCAACAGGGTGAAAAAAAAACCCCTACTGACTGGGAACAAACATTTGGCAATACCATCTCCGACAAGTCTCATAATGAAAGTTTACAGAATACTCCTGGGCCTCTGCAAACAAAAGACTGATAATGCAATTAGAAAATGGGCAAAAGACATGGAAAGACTTTTCACAGAGGAAGATATTCGAATGGCAAACAGACACGAAGAAATGCTCCAAATGACTGGCAGTAAGACAGATGCAAATAAAAATCACAATGAGGTACCATCTCACTCCAGCAACAGTGGCAAAGTTTAACAAGACAGCAAGTAATAAATGTTGGAGAGGATGTAGAGAGATAGGAACTCTGAAATATGAATATTTTCTTTCTAGACTTCTGATTAGGTTCATTTTTCACAAGAGAATATTTTTTTCAACTCCATATGGAATGATAAAGGAACTAGGTATATGCCTAAGATTTGATTGGGTATTAGGGATCAAGCTATGATGTATAAGATACATTTCAGTTCTAAAGATTATAGCATATTTCGAAAAATAAGCAAAGAAACAAGTAAAAGAATATCTGTACTAATTCTTTTTTAAAATTTATAATGTAATTTGGGTGAATCTGTGCTAATTCTTGAAGGTAGAACTGTATCTTCCCCATTTCAGTTCCATTTCAGTTGCATATTACCTAGGCCTGACACAGACTTCTGTCTTTATTGTTTTGTACCTTCAAATCTCCTATAATGATTTATAACACCTCTCTGAACAACAGATCTGAACCTAGCGCTATACTGTGCCACCCTCATCATCTGTGATATGCTTATGCACATTAAAACAGTCACTGTGTTAACCCAATTATTAAAGATCTTCCTCTGACCCTCCAACTTTTCTAGCATATCTTTTTCCAAGGACTGGTCCCTCTTGACAGCAAGCCAAAAAAAGTTATGTGAGATGTTTTGCTATCCTTGCCTCTAATGAACACCTGCTGTCTTTAGTTCTCATTAAATCAGCTCTGAGAACCTCACACACAAAAGAAAGAAACTTTGCCTCGGTCTGTAACATCTGGCCCAGAACAGATACCCAATACATGTTTGTTGAATCGTTAAAGAGAAAGTACTGTGAAAATATCATAAAACTGCAAAGTCTAACTCTACAGTGATTGGCCACATGTGGATCTTTAAATTCATTTAAATAGAATAAGATTTAAATTTTCAGTTCCTTACTCATACCAACCACATCCAAGGGCTGGGGCTAATCAGTCCTGTACTGAACAGTACAAGTATTTATATGTTTGTAAACATTATAAAAAGGTTATACAGAACCACTATAGAAGGACAGAGCCAAGTTCCTCATTGAGGATGACAGGAAGGGCAAAACAATGACTTTTAATCTGATCCTTGAAAAAATGATGGGATTTTAATGTAGGAACTAGAGAAATCACATCTTAGAGGAAGGGTACAGCAGATGGAACACGGAAAAGCTAGGAAGGAAAAGGTCTTCCACATGGCTGGAGCCATCAAGTGCAGAACCAAGCTGGGCTCTAGACAAGGCCTACCCTCTCATCTCACCTTAACACCATACCAGTCTTCTCTCGGGCTTTTCCCATCCTCACCCGAAAATGAAGTGTCTATCACCTACTACTGGTTCCCAGTCCTTCAAGGCTTACTGAAAGGTCAACAATTTGAACTCATCAGCAGCTCCTCAGAGGAGAAAGGCCTAATTATCTACTCCTGTAAAGATTTTAGCCAAGGAAACCCTATGGAGCAATTCTATTCTATCCAATTGGGTCACTAAAAGTCAGTATCTAGTGCAACAATGAATGAGTGGAAGCCCAAAATCTCTGTAAATGTTTATGAAAATTAATAAAATACAATTATAGAAAAAAAAAGTCAGTATCAATGCAATAGCAAGCAATAACAACAGTATTTAAAAGTAATTTTATAAAATGCCTTTTTATTGTAGAAGAGCTGACAGAGTTCAAAATGAGCTGAAAGGGGTCAAAAACAGGCCAGGAAAAACAGTAGGTCATTGACATCCAATACTTTATATTCTGTATCTTCTATATGCAACTCCCTATGGTCTATGTCAGGGAGCTTTGGTGGCCTAGTGGTAGGAAGCTGTGCTGCAGTCCCAAAGCATGTGGCTGCTTTGGGAATCAGGTTGCTCCATGAACAAGGTATGGTGGCTTTCTTCCATGTGTTTTACAACCTCTGAAAATCTACTGGAGGGTCAGCTATGTATCAGTTGTAACATGACAACAACATAGCAATATATCTTGGAATCTACATTCCCATCCCTCACTGTGAAAATGTATCTCACTTGTCAGAGCTTCTCCACTTTTCCTATTACTCACACTTTTCCTATTACTAAACATGTGGTTTAGGAAGTGGCATCCACTTCCTAAACCACATGCCTCTGGAAACTTATAAACTTTGAGAAATGATGATAGTTATAGAAAGGCTTCAGGCCTTTTGTTCATAGGGTTGCTATGAGTCGTGCTCAATTCGACAGCAATCAACAACAATATAGCCATACTATCTTTGTGCTATCATGCCTCTTTTCCCTTGCCCCTTCACCTGAACATATACACTACTGATTACATAAAACATAATCAAGTATTAAGTCATGATTACATTGAATTTAACCATTTTAGTATAGCATCAGAATACAAAAGATAAATTCTTTATATTTTAATTTGTGCTTGAATGTGCCACATTTCATAAAGAATAAAAATTAGCTTTAAAGATTAAAAACAAAACACCTACTTTCCAGAACAGCCTTTTGAGTATGAAGTTCTTCTGAGCTGCTACTTTAAGTTCTGTAATTAAATAAAATATCTTGCTCAAAGTGTTGTCCTTAAGAAAAAGTTCAGATTTAAGTTGACTGAAGTGCTTGATTTTCTCTTCTGATCTACAAAAATACAAGAAGATTTTCCATTTTAAACAAGAAAATAGTTTAAGAATATGGACTGTTAATTAGGTTTATAAAATCTTATTACAAATGAAATTGTAATATAGTTTTGCACATCTAGTCTTATTCCTCACAAGATGAACTTTGCCCTAAATTTAACCACTTTTCATTCTCCAAAAATACAATTTGCCATGCTTTTTTGCTCAAGTTTTACCTATAGAAGATATACTCAGTCTCCAGTAAACATTTCTCTTTTTAGCATAACTCAGAGTCTACTGAAATTCAATTGCTCATGTACCATTTACCATCATTCATATGCCATATACATGTGATAATGTTGTTATTGCTAGGAGCTATTGAGAATGACTCACGGTGACCCTATGAACAAAAGATCTGAACCCTGTCCTACCTACCTTGTGCCATCTCAAAATCTCTGGCACTCTCAGCCCACTGCTTCAGTTACTGCATCAATCCATCTCATTGAGGGTCTTCCTCTCTTTTGTTGACCCTCCACCTTTCTAAGCATGATGTTCTTCTCCAAGGAACAGCCTCTCTCAGTGACATGCCTAAAGCATGTGAGACTACGCTTCATCTTCCTTGAGTCTAAGGAACACTCTGGCTGCACCCTTTCCTAGACATATCTGTTTGTTTTTTGGAAGTTTATGAGATAGTCAGCACTCTTCTCCAACATCCCAACTCAAAGGCCTTAATTCTCTTGTCATCCTTATTAGTAATCTAGCTCTCAGCAAGACAGCAAGTGACTGAAAAAACCATGGCTTGAATTAGACATACCTTAGCCTTCAAACTGACACCATTGTTTCTCAGTACTTTGGAGAGGTCCCTGACAGTGGACTTGCCCGATGCAATGTCTCCTGATCTCCTGACTGCTCGTACCAAAGGTGCTGACTGTGGATCCAAGCAAGATGTTGTTGGTGGTGGTGGTAGTGGTGGTGGTGTTATGTGCCATCGAGTTGCTTGTGACTCATACCGACCATATGTACAACAGACCTAAATCCTGCTCTATCCTGTGCCAATGGCACTGCCTCCGACACACCCATCCTGATCACCCCAGTCACTGAATCAATTCACCTCAAAGAGGGTCTTCCCCTCCTGCACTGTCCCTCCACCCTCCCAAGCAAGGACCGGTCCCTCCTTGCGATATGTCCAAAGTATGTCAGGCGAAGCCCCAGAATCCTTGCCTCCAAGGAGCAGCCTGGTTTAACCCTCTCTAGGCTGAATCTGTTTGTTTTCTTGGCAGTCCATGGTACATTCAATACTCTTCTCCAGCACCACAGCTCATAGGTATCAATTCTCCTCCTATCCTCCCTAGTACTCTGATGCTTAACAAGTGACTGCAAAGACCATGGCCTGTATCAGCAGTCATTGATAATTTCAATCTTTTCTCCATCTATTCTGATGTTGTTTATTGGTCCAGTGGTGAGAATTTTTATTTGCTTTATATTGGGATGTAATCTATGTTGAAGATTATAATCTTTGATCCTCAGCAGTGTTTCATGTCCTCCTCACTTTCAGCAAGCAAGGTTGTGTCATCTTCATAGCGCAGGTTGTTGATGTGTCTTCCTCCAATCCTGATGCTACATTCTTGTAATAATACTGGCTTAATATTTTTTTTCCTTGAATCTGTCAGCTCCTTTTCCCTCCCACTTGTCGGTGCTAAGGAAGTGCTAATGACCTATTTGGGAAAGCATTGCAATGTCATCCCAAAGGTAAATGATTCGAATCCACCAGCAGCTCCTGTGCAATTTACAGCCCCTGAAAACCCAGTGGAGGATCAGCTATGAGTTGGTTCTGACTTGACGGCCATGAGTTTGAGGTTGTTGCTGTTAATTCCATTGTTGCCTCATAGTGACCCCATGTGCTACATAGTAGAACTGCTCTACAGGTTTTTCTTGACTGATACCTTTATAGAAGGAAGCACTGCTGGCCTCGTCAGTAGGAAGTTGTGCTGCTAATCTAAAGGTGGCAAAGAAAGATGGACAATCTCCTCCTGTGTGATTTACAGTCTCAGAAACATAATGGAGGGTCTGCTGTGAGTCAACTCTGACTGGAAAGCAATGAATTTAAGGTGATTTTTTTTAAATTGTTTTTAAAAATCTTTATAGAAGCATATTGCCAGGTGTTTCTTTTTCAACACTTCTGGCTGGAGTCAAACTTTGGCTATCCAGAGAGCTCTCTTGTTTAGAGATGTTTACAAAGAAAATTTTGAATCGTATGAAAAAAAATCTAATTTTCTATTTATAGTAAGTAGCTATAAAAACAGCATGACAGCAATATAAACTCAAAATAGATGATCCAGATCCTGAGCCGCAAGCCAGCTCTCCGGGAGGATAGGGCAGATGTGCATGTGCTAGGAAGCTGACGCCACTGGCACAAAGCTGAGAGGCTCTCCTTAAGGAAATCAGACAGCTGGAGAGGGAATCACAATCTCAATCTAGAACGCTAAATTATGTTACCCCAAAGCCCCTCTAAAATCACTCCCAGCACTGACTCATATGCACTCCACACTTCTAGAAAAAAGCTGGTTCAGCTGACCTGAGTAACACCTTTTCTTCTGGCTCTCCCTAAGAACTTTCTTCACATTTCTGGCCTAGTGGTAATAAACAAATAGCTGAACCTGTTAATTTATTTCTATAGAATGTCTATTTGCATTTCATTGACTATGCAAAGGCATTTCACTGTATAGATCACAACAAACTATGAATGACTCTGACAAGAATGGGAATTCCAGAACACTTGATTATGCTTATGTGAAACTTATACTAGGACCAGGAGGCAGTCATCAGAACAGAGCAAGGAAACACTGCATGGTTCAAAATTGGGAAGGGTGTACACCAAGGATGTGTCCTATCTCCATATCTTTTCAATCTATATGCGGAACAGATTATCTGGGACGCTGGGCTCTATGAAGAGAAATGTTGCATCAGAATTGGAGGAAGACACATCAAAAACCTGCACTATGAAAATGACACAACCTTGCTTGCTGAAACTGAGGAGGACATGAAGCTCTTGCTGCAGAAGGTCAAGGATTGCAGCCTTCAATATGGATTGAAGCTCAACATCAAGAAAACAAAGATTCTCACCACTAGGCCAACTTGGCAACATCATGATAGATGGTGAAGAGATTGAGACTGTCAACAGCTTCCGTTTGCTTGGCTCTACAATCACCATTCTTGGTCCCAGCAGCCAGAAAATTAAAAGACAATTTTATTGGGAAAGTCTGTGGTCAGAGACCTCCCCAAAGTACTGAAGAGCAAAAATGTCAGTCTGGAGACTAAGGTGCACCTGATACAGGCCATGGGCTTTGTCATTACTAGCTATGCATCAGAAAGCTGGACAATGACTAGGGATCACAGGAGGAGAACTGATGCCATTGAGCTGTGTAGTTGGAGAAGTGTATTGAATATACCATGGACTGCCAGGAGAACAAACAAGTTTGTCCTGGAGAAGGTGAAGCCGGGCTACTCCTTGGAGGCAGGGACTCTGAAGCTTTGTCTGACATACTTTGGACAGGTTGCAAGGCAGGATCAGTCCCTGAAGAGGGACATCATGCTTGGGAAGGTGGAGGGACAGCTCAAGAGAGGAAGACTCTTAATGAGATGGATTGATTCAGTGACTGGGGTAATGGGATTGGCACAGGATAGCGCAGGGTTTAGGGCTGTTGTACAGAGAGGGTCACCAAGAGTCACAGGAGACTTGATGGCACATAACAATGAAAACATTCATAATGTATTTATTAATAAACATATTTATTAACAAATATATTTCTTTTAATAATAAATCATATATAGAGGTAATAAATAAAGAAAATAAACATTTATTCCCCAATGGAAATAAATGTGACACTTTATTCACATTTCTGCTTAGTGGTAAGAAGCTGTGCTGCAATCCCAAAGGCACATGGTTTGAATTCACCAGCTGCGTCATGGGAGAAGAATGAGGACTCTCCTCTTGTGTAATTTACTGTCTCTGAAAGCTCTCTGGAGGTTCAACTTTGAGTTGTCTGATTCAATGACACACAACAACAACAACAACATATTAATCCAACCTCATTGTATTTATCTGTGAACTGGTCCTACACTTCAGCTGATTTTCAGCAACCTGAAAAGACATGATTGTTAATGAGTTTATATCTCCCTCTGTGCTCAGCAATAACTTGTGCTTAATTGAGCGCATACTATGCAGCAGGCCTCTGAGCTGTGTGCATTTCATGGATTAGCTCACTCAATTCCACTAAGGACACTGAATTAATAAAGTAGGGTGGAGGGACAGCGCAGAAGGGGAAGGCCCTCTATGAGGTGGATTGATTCAGTGACTGGGGTAATCGGGATGGGAGTGTCAGAGACAGTGCGATTGGTACAGGACAGAGCAGAGTTTAGGGCTGTTATACAGAGGGTCGCTATGAATCGCAAGCAACTCGACGGCACATAACAGCAACAAGAGCAGCTAGTGATTCAGAAAGCCAGGATGCAAAGAGATGTTTCATGTTCATTGCAGGTTGACGGAATCAGAATTGCTGATGAGAAGTTATATTAGTGCTTATATTCTTCCATGGGAGTTTGGTGGTCTAGTGGGCAGGGAGTTGCACTGCCAACCCAAAAGTGAGCAGTTTGAATCCACCAGGTACTGAGCAGGAGGAAGACAGCCAATCCCTTCCTGTGGTTTGGTTGGGTTTTTTTGAGGGTTTTTTTTTTTTTTTTTTTTTTTTACTGTTCTTCTGAAGCACTACCTCAGGGAAGGCTGAGGTCTGTAATGGAGCCCTAACTCTCCATCAATTCTTGGCGAAAGCTGAGACATTAGTTGAGTATTTTTTGACCAGTGAACCAGCCAAATGACTCCAACCTCAGGAACAGTGCAGTTGAAAGTGGACTGTGACTGCCAGGAGATCCTAGACAGGAGCCATTTACTCTCAGGACTTTCAAAGAAAACTAAGGAACTTGCATGAGTGTTTCCTTAATGATTCCCAGTTGTAATAGCTTTCA